TTTAATGACTTCGAATATTTCTTGCCACTCATTCTAGCCTGCAAAGTTTCTTTTGAGAAGTCAGCTGACAGTCTTGTTGGAACTCTCCTGTAGGTAAAGAAGTGCTTTTCTCTTGCTGTTTTTTAAGGTTTTCTCTTTATCTTTAAACTTTGGCATTGTAATTATGATGGGTCTTGGAGTGGGCCTCTTTCCATCCATCTTGTTTGGGACTCTCTGTGCTTCCTGGACTTGCATGTTTATTTCCTCCCTCAAATTAGGGGAGTTTTCTTTCATTATTTTTTGAAATGAATTCCCAATTTCTTGCTCTTCCTTTACTCTTTCTGGTGTCCCTAAGATGTGAATGTTGGAACTCTTGATCTTGTCCCAGAGGCTGCTGGCACTATCTTTGTTTTCTGTTTTTTTTGGATTCTTTTTTCTTTTTGTTCTGATTGCTTGTTTTTTGCTTCCTTATGTTCCAAATCATTGATTGGATTCTTAGTTTCATCCACTCTACTGTTGTTTTCCTGTAAATTGTTCTTTATTTCAATTAGTGTATCCTTCATTTCTTACTGGATCATTTTTATGCTGCTGAGATCCTCACTGTGTTCCTTGAACATCCTTATAACCAGTGTTTTGAGCTCTGCATCTAATAGATTGCTTATCTCCATTTCACTTGGTTCCTTTTCTGGAGTTTTGATCTGTTCTTTCATCTGGGCCATGTTTCTTTGTCTCTTCAATTTGGCAACACTCTTGTGTTTATTTCTATGTATTAGGTAGAGTTGCTTTGACTCCCTGTGTCAGGAGCATGGCCTATAGTGGTAGGTATCCTGTAGGGCCCAGTGTCAGAGCCTACCCTATTATCCAAGCTGGGTATTTGAGGTGCACCCTTTGTGTGGCCTGAGTATACCCTTTTCTTGTAGTTGAGCCTTGACTCCTGTTGGCAGGTCAATGGGAAGGATTTACCCAAGCCAGTCGGCTGCAAAGACTGTCTGTACCACTGACTGTCAGCCCCTACCCTCCATGGAGGATCAACTGTGCAGGAACAGGGTGGTGGTGCTCCTACCTGGTCTGTAGATTTCCACTGAGTGAGCAGGCTATGCAGTTTCCCAGGTTGTGCAAGCCAAGGTCAGCCCCCACGTGTGTTTTTCCTGGGGCCACATTGCCTGGGCTATAAAACAATCTGAGGTGGTTCCTACTTGTGCTGGGCTTGGAGATTCCCAGGTGAAACCAAGCTGTGAATCTAGGCTAGCTGTGGCTAGTGCTGGGCTTAGGACCACTTAGCAAGGGGTATGGGGTTGGGGGCTCATTGAGGTTGGCTGTTGCTTGTTTGAAATGATTTAGGAAGTTGTGAAGCATGAGCCAAGACCAGCGATTCATATGGAAAAGTCTCTGCTAACAGCTGAAGTGGTCCTATAAGTTGGGTGGGATGGAGTCTCCAGGGGATCTCCAGGGCAGAGCAAACTCTATTAGCCAGGTTGATGGAGGCTCAGATATGGCACCTAACTGCTGACTCTGTGGCTCTGTGGGGGCAGGGCGGTAGGTTCAGAAAGGGGAAAATGACCTTTGTCCACATTTCTGTCTGGGAGAAAGCTGTCCCCCAGCTCTAGCCTTGATGCTAGACATTTCAGTACCTCTCCGCATGCCACTGGTGCCTTTCAAGCTGCTACTCCAGTGCTGGAGCTCAGAGGAAGTTAGTCTGAGTAAGTCTGTATGAGAGTTATTTAAGAGGAGCTGCTTGAGACTCGAGCAGTTTCTTCCAATAATTTAATCCCTACTGTTTTTTTCAGCCAGAAGTTATGGGTGTCTATCTTCATGGCACTGAAACCCTGGGCTGGGGTCTGGTGTGGGGCTGGGATGCCTTGCTCCCAATATATCCCTTTTGAATTTTTATTTACCACATGTGGATGTGGGACCAGACCTTTCCATGTCTCTTCCCCTCCTACCAGTCTAGATGGATGTGGTTTATTTAATTTTGTAGTTGTTAGACTTCTATTAAACTCAATTTCTGTTGATTCTGGGTGATGGTTGTTCTATAATTTAGTTGTAATTTTGATGTGGTTGTGTGAGGAGATGATCCATGTTTACCTATGCCACCATCTTTAAAAATGATTTAAATTTCTACCTATGCCCTTTCTTGCCTTCTCTCTGAAGGCACAGGTATAATAAAAATCATGGGCTTGATGGTCAGGCCAAACCTGGATTTAATCTCAATTACTTTACATACAACTATTAACTGCATGACTTTGGCATGGACTTATCCTCTCTAAGTCTTTCACATGCTTATTGTATATAAGGAATCAATAAGATAATCTATCTAAAATATTGCATCTGGGTCTATGGGTGAATGACAATGTAATTAGCTGCAATGAATCCTCAAAACTTTGAGTTGGTTTCAAAGAATGTTGAATGACATGAGCAACGTGTAGAGGTTTCCAAGTACATTATTTGTTAAATTTCCATAATTATGGAAGTGCATGAGGTTCAGATTTGGATCACCAGGATTCTATTTCCAATTTGACTAAATAGTGAGAGACAACTGGCTGCAGAGGGTATGGTTCAAGTCTGTAAGACGGGTAGTGTGAACAATGTTGAACTCAAGCTGTGTCCACTCTTCTTTTGCTTAGTGTTGGCCTTCATATCTATGAAATACTGACTACTGAGTGACAACAAGTTAAAGTGCAGAAGAAAATTAGGACTAAAGAGAAGCGGTGGCCCTGCCCTGGTATCTCAGTTGGTTAGTGTGTCATCCTGATATGCTAAGATTGCACGCTCAGTGTCTGATCAGGGCACATATAAGAAGCAACCAATAAATGTGTAAATAAGTAAACCTTCAGGCAGACCAAGACTGTGGTCTGAGTGCAAGAAGAGAGCATGTGAAATAGCTGGTAAAGGAGGAGAAACAGGAAGACAATCATTATCAAGTTGTCAGGCAACCATCAAATCCAGGAAATTCACACGAACTAAAGAGCACAAAGGCTGGTAGAGAAACAAAGACAAAGTATCAGTAATTGACTCTGATACTGAAGGTACTTGATATTCAACCAACCAGAAGGTCCTTTTCTGATCTCACCTGGAGAATGATGATCCCAAGAAAAATAATCTGAGTGAAAGTCTCTGGGCTAGGATAACCTCCAAAATCTGCCTGCTAGTAATAGAGTCCAGTGGTCATGTTTTCTAGGAGAGGGATTCTCTTAGTATATCAAGTACTCCAGAGATATTTCCTCTCTCTGCTTTCATCTTTCTGCACTCTCCACCAAGCTTAGCTCCTGTAGCTCAATGTCCATTTTAGAATCTGGTAGACCTTGAGTACTCGTGCTGTTGTATTGGTTTCCTTCCTCACAAAGGAGCAGGAGAGAAGGAGAAAGCACATGGGTAGGAACAGAAGGAAGGAGGAATCAAATAGGAAGTACAGTTGACAGGAAATCTGGACAATGTAGGATCATGACTCAAATGTCAGGGGAAATATCAGGTGCTTGGGCTGTGTTCTTGTGTTGAGTTTACTGGAGGGATATTGTTCTCTTATGTATACTCAACTGTGTGACTTCATGCATAATCAGATATTAATTGCTCAGTTCCCCCCTTGAAAGAAATTAGAGTTTCCTAAGTGGGAGATATTTCTCACCTGAGGAAGGGAGAGACTTTTCTCAATCTGTATCTCCCTGGTTGGAGTGCATGCGTGCGCACACACACACACAACAACTGGGAGAATATTGACTGAAAAAAGTATTGCACATCAACATTTATTCAAGACTCAAAATATTTCAGGTGGTTTATAGAACAGAGAGATAGATGTAGTCCCTTAAGGCTTAAATGTGAGCATCAACATTGACTGAGGAGAACTAATTTACTCCCTTCCGAAAGAAAATGTGGTTGAGAAGAATGATTACAGCAAAATGCCTTAACAGAAAAAGTGTCACAATTTTTTATTGACTTCTTGTTTTTGGGATGTTTTTGCAAACTTATCAATTATTTTGTGACACTTTACAGTGTAACAAGATTTTGGTTTTTGTAAAACATCATTTTGAAATTGCCCCAAACTAGATTTCCCTCTCTCTCTCTCTTCCATCAAACTGACATTGGGTGCAAGTTTATGAATCTTGAATGTTTCATCTGTTAGCTTAAAATCTTTTAATGGCAAATTACAGAAATAAACTTGACTTTGAAAAAAAAAGGAAGTCTAGTGCAAAAGAAAATGAAACTCTTAGGGAGGCTCAGTACCAGAAATGCAGCTAGGCTCTGGGAATGTTTTGGAATTCATTCTGGAAAGCCCTCCAATGTCTTTGTTCTCTGAACTGCCTCTTTATGCACTTCTGTTTATCATTCTTAATCTCATCTGATTTGTTTTATGGCAGATTGAGGTTTCCCCATGGCTTCCAAATTGACATATAATCATTTCAATCTCTCAAAGTGACCACAGAGCAGTTTAAATACATATTCCACATTCTTCTGAGAGAAAATCTGTTTGCTACTCACTGCTCACCCACATAGATCAGAAGGCCACCCCTGGTTTCATCATATATAATATGAAAATGGTTTCTTGGATGCCTAGCTCTGTGGACTTGGAAACATGAAAGGAGGGGGGCACTTTCCAGAAAAGAAAAATTGTTTTGGGCTTTCTGACTGTGCCAAATTCATCTACCCTGCCATGCCCAGAATAACACTGCCTGGCACCGAGGATGCTCTCTATAAATATTTGCCTAGTGAAATGGTTATTGACTGAATGCACTGGCAAGGATTTATAAAAACATGTTTGGTTAGATAAATGAAGAAGTTTTTGCATTTTGAACATCATGATAGTAAATCTTTATGAATTGCTTGCTGGGACAGTTAACTGAAAACTAAAGTTAAATTAGTTAAAATCATTTGATTTCTAGGCTGTTTTTCTGAATTTGAAAAATCATTTTAAAATTTAAAAATTATAAAGTTTGTGAAAACATTTGAATGACTTAAAAGTATACATATTTATTTATTTTAATAATGTTTCTTTCTCTATTTAAAAAAATTATTTGATGTTCATGAAGACTAAACCTGGAGTAATTCGCCCAGTACCTGTAAAATCGAAAATATTACTGAAAAAAGAGGAGGAAGTCTATGAACCCAACCCTTTCAGTAAATATCTGGAAGATAACAATGACTTTTTTTCTGAGCAGGTGAGTAAATATGTGAGAAAAATCTTTGATATTTTGATAAATGGCTATATATAATATAAGATGGTTCTATGAATATAGTCTGTACAAGAAAATGTTCATTTAAGTGGAGTATTCTTAATAATCAAAAAAAGTCAATTTTTGCATGATAAAAATAAATTCTTATATGTTTCCAGGATGATATTTAAAGCATTACAATGTATTTTTTTCCTCCTAAAAATGTTCTACCTACTGCAAATATTATTCTGGGGACCAAGACATTACTCTTTATAAAGACATCATAAAGTCACTGGTTGGATACATCATATAGGTGTTGTATTTTAATTTCTAAAATCCTGTTTCCTTTTAAAAGATGTAATATTTTAGATTTGGTCTATTAGTACAGTTGACAAAAGATCTATTGTTTCAATTCATATTAACATATTAGAGATGAAGTTATTCCTTACATTGAGCAATACTAGTTAGAAGATAAGGTCTGAGTGATTTAAGGCTTTGTTATTCATTTGGTTTATGTGTAAAAAAGATCTGCTATCATCCTCTCGTGTATCATATATATTGGAAGAGGTATAATGCAAGGTTGTTGATGTGCTTTATTAGTTATCTGGGAAAAATATAAAAAATACACATTATACAATATAAAACTTCAAAGATTACTTCAAAGAAAAACTATATATTTATTTGTCTTACTAAAATGCAACAAATAGACATGGGTTATATTTTTTATATCTTAAACATTATATGCCTAAACAATGTAAGCAATCCAAAAAGTCTTTCTGCATACAACTAGGGCATTTAAGATCACCACACTTGATAATCTATAATAAAATAGTCTCATAAAGGAATATAAGGTGATATACTCTTTAAGTTACAGTTTTAAAATGAGAACCAACAATATCTTGAAAATATAAATGACATCTATACATAGAAAATGTAAGGAGTATCTTATCTGCCACATAATAGCATTATAACACTGAACAGGTTGTTTTCTCTCTCTAGGCTTCAGTTTCTTAATGTATAAAATGAGGCACTTAAGCGTTTTTAAGGGTCCTTCAAATTTTAAAATTTGGATTATTTAAAATCTAAGGTTAACTCTGACTGGATGTGACGTCCATATGTACACCTGAAAAAGTTCATTATAAATACTTTCTCATGATTAGCTATAGTTTTTACTAATAAAGTGGAAAATATTTTATTTATAAAGTAAAAATATTTTCTGTTTATTTGTATATATTTTGTGAAGACTGACACGATTTTAATAAATTAAAATTTTTAGAAAGCATGGATAACATTAAAAATGATAGAGGAAATTATTTGCATTTAGTGGAATACAGTATAGTTCTCAATTTCAATTAAATACAGAACTCTTATGGATACATAGGGTTGTTTTTATCTAATTTCACACATAACAAAAATGGAAACTCCTGTTAGAAAATCATATTTCTATTATCAACAAAACACATTATATATCAATTGCTGGTATAACACTAACATTTTAGAGATTGAATGTGACATTTTAGATCTATTCTTATATGACAAATATGTCAATAGTTAAAATAAACTTCACATATGATCCATGTAGCTTACATCTTTCAAGATATGATCTAATGCTATAATAATTTTTCCTTTTTTATTATAATTTCAATTTTATGCATTTTAATTTAAGCAAAATTCTTTGTAGAACATCAAGTTAATCAAATTGATCACAACTTGATGTCCTATGAAATGATAAATTTCATTTTCAAAGCGTAGGAAATTTTTGTTATTAATAGGACTTGCCATTTTTTCTTTGCTTTTCCTGACTATATAGCAAATTTAAAGCTCTGCTTATGTACAACATAAACCTATGTGTTTCCAAAAATTTGTGGAAAATTTCAGCTCTTTTGAAAAAATAAAAGTGCTGCAAACATAATCTTACTTATATTTTCTTTCAACCAATTTGTTCATGTGTGTATCCCAATTTCTGTGTGGAACATAGGAGGTAATTGGCGTCTGCAGACTGTTGGGATTGAAAGAACTTCAGCATACTACTTAAAAGTGAATTCCAAACATTCCCTGGTCTTATTCATTGACCTTGCATGAGAGGAGAAATTATGATAGAACCTTGGGATAACTGCACACTGGGAAACTGCATATACTATCAACTTGACTCTTTATGTTGAGCTCCAATTACCATCTCATTGGGACCAAAATCTGCAATGGAGGCAGATACCAAAGACAGCTCACAAGTGTAGATGCTTAGATCTACTTAGAAAGTAAATTGAGTTATAACAATTTATAATCTCAGTGTTGCTACTTCATGAACACTTCAGCAGAAGAGAGCGTTCTCAAATTCAGCTCTAGTCGCTATTGTGTCCTCGTCTGCTACCCCAGAGTAAATTGAATGGTGGGTGGGTGATAACCCACCCATGTAATGGAAAATTCTTTAGCCAGAATGTTGGGCCAAATTGAAGCAGCTCACACTCACTAATCTGCCTTGTACTGGGGACAGTTCCACATGACAGGAGTTGTTGGATGAGATTGTTAAGTCAATAAATTTCCCCTAGCAGCTTCACTGCCATAAAACATGATTTCAAAACTCTCTGTTGCAAAACGTCAGACACTAAAGATGATGAGACCAGACAGAAATGTATTTACTGTTACTTAAGAAAGTACACTGGGGCAGCCTTTGAACCGATAATGAACTGAAAATTTGCCTGCAGACAGCCTCTGAGGATTAAAATGAAAGTTTGAAACCACATCCATAATCAAGTAATTGAGACTCAGTAATTAACAACTTTTACATCAAATGGCATAGGTCAGGAACTTCATTTTGAATTATATTGATTTTTTTTAACAAAAAAATCTCACCATAATGAAATTTACACTTTTCTGAAATTACCTTTAAATCCATTACTGTATCATTTTGTTGTTCTATTGAGTCCTTATGAAATATCCTCTCTCCACATAGGGATTTAAAACTATAAAGTGCTTTGAAACATAGTTTTATTGATAATACAATCAATTCACTGATGAAAATGAAGATGCATAAGCCCGAATGGTTTTTAGTTTGTCTGACTACTTGTGAGTTTGCAAATATATTGGTTGCCTTCTGGTCATTTGATGTATTTAATTAGATAAAGGTTGATTTCTTCACTGAAGATACTCAATTTAATATAAAAAGCAGTTGCTATCATCAGTTATATAAAATATTCTCTCATTCTTTATAACTTATTAATTTAAAAACCCATTATATTAGGTATGTCATTTCCTACTTAAAGCCCTAGAATAATGTATAAAAATGGTTTAAGGCAATATCAAAGAAGGAATATTGTCATTTTCCTAGAAGTGTTTTCTTTTTTTAAAAAATGGGAAATAACACTTCCTAGCACATATGCCTCTTAAATTTCATTATTCTTTGAACTTCCTTCTCAATAGGGAAAATTACAAGTTGATGTGTGAAAATGACTATTTAGCAAATTTCCTCCACACCACTTCACAGAGAACATAAAAGGATAAATATAGGGAACTTTCTTTGTTGTATTTTTTTATTATTTCTTTTCTTTCCTGATTATTCTTAGCCATACAACTTGCTTCTCTTTACCAAACTCTCTCTGCTTGACATTGAACTTTGATGATTATGTGGGAGACTTTCAGATTTCTGTCCAATGATTCATCAAGTTATATTCCTACCGTGACCTTCGCTTCCACTTCTGTATGTCACCAACATGTTACTATTACAGGGCAAATGCCTTTTTCATAAAATGAAACTGACAGTATTGCCTTAATCCTGAATGACTTCTGGCTTTGCCACAAACTGCTACTTTTTCAACATTTGCTTGTTAATCATGGTGGCTCATTGTCTTTTGTCATGACATGACCTTTTATTAAGAAATATTTTTCAGATTAAAATGTTTAATTTGTTTAGGTCTAGAGATGATCAAGTGGTTTACGCAATTGTTCTACGGAACAGAGAACTGAAATTCCCCGTAGTATAACATTTCTTTTCTTTTCTTTTTTAATTTTATTTAAATTTATTTTTTCAAATACATTTGTCTCTGCCTACCCCCCACCACTTTCCCTTGCCCCCTTCCTCCTTCCCTCCCTCAGCTCTTCCCCTTTGGTTTTGTCCATGAGTCCTTGCTATATGTTCCTTGACTTTCCCCTTCCCTTCCTTTTCCCCGTCCCCCGCCCCGCCCCCCCGCCCCCCCGCCTCCTTCCCTCTTGTCTCTGTTGATTTCTTTTCCTTTCAGTGTTGCTGGTCTTATTTTCCTTGCATCTTTGTATTGTTGGTTAGGTTCCGCTTATAGGTTAGATCATATGGTATTTGTCTTTCGCCCCCTGGCTTATTTCGCTTAGCATAATGCTCTCCAGTTCCATCCATGCTGTCGCAAAGTTTAGTAGTTCTTTTTTTCTTTCTGCTGCGTAGTATTCCATTGTGTATATGTACCATTACTTTTTGATCCAATCATCTACTGATGGGCATTTAGGTTGCTTCCAGCACTTGGTTATTGTAAATTGTGCTGCTATGAACATTGGAGTGCATAGGTTCTTTTGTATTGGCGTTTTGGTATTCTTAGGGTATAGTCCCAGCAGGGGAATCACTGGATCAAAAGGCAGTTCCATTTTCAGCTTTTTGAGGAAATTCCACACTGCTTTCCACAGTGGCTGCACCAGTCTGCATTCCCACCAACAGTGTACTAGGGTTCCCTTCTCTCCACAGCCTCGCCAGCACCTGTTGTTTGTGGATCTGTTTATGATGGCCATTCTGACTGGTGTGAGGTGGTACCTCGTGGTGGTTTTGATTTGCATTTCTCTGATGGCTAGTGATGCTGAGCATCCTTTCAAATGCCTCTAGGCCCTCTATATCTCCTCCTTGGAAAAGCGTCTGCCCAGGTCCTTTGCCCATTTTTTGATTGGATCGTTTGTCTTCTTGGAGTGGAGTCGAGTGAGTTCTTTATATATCTTGAAGATCAAACCTCTATCTGATGTATCATTAGCAAATATATTTTCCCATATGGTTGGCT